CCTCTCCTCTCCTCTCCTCTCCTCTCCCTCCTTCCTGGAAGACTACAGAACCTGGAAAAATTACCAAAACACGTTGGCAAAAATCCCGCAGAAAATGTGGTTCCATGCAGAGGCCTCCGAAAGCCTTCCCCTCCATGGCTCAATGACTTTCACACCCGCCAACGCAGCACCATTTTCCAGATGCACTGAACGCAAGCGCGCAAGCTCTGGTATAGTGATCATGGGTGTTGACCACAACTTTACAAAATCATGACAAGCACGTAGGTTGAAAAAGCGAAAATCCAAATCCTCGACCGAGATCGCCTTCCATTTCTGCTATAGTCAGGCACCTGCCCCCCCAGGGTTTGTCATCAAGTTGAAAGGTCCTGTATTGGCTGGCTGCAAAGGCTGCTTGTCTGCCACATACGTGTCAGACTGCTTCGCTTCTACGTTGCAGTGTTGGAACTCGACAAACGCTTTCATCCAACACGTCTTTTGGGAAGGCATGAACACGAAGCCTTCGCAGTCGTCTGTGACCTCACATCGATCTGCACACTCTTGTGGGAACACGCTTGGATGCCAGAGCCCAAATCAACAGCTCCAGGACCAGCTCTGCTTCTTTGCCAGCAATTGATGCCTTGATAATACTCGTAGCCTGAAACAGGTCGGAGAGGCCTCTTGGTAGAAAGGTGCCGCTGTTGCTCGCTGGATAGACTTTGCACTTCCAAGTGGCATACGGCAGAAGCAAATAAGACATCATTGGCTCAAATGACAAGGTCCCCTTTCTGGGAACGCAAATTGTAGTGCTGGGAGGCTTGAGCCTCAAGCGTGCTGTGTGCAACGTGTGTTTTGCAAGCATCTGTTTCTGCAACAGTGAAGAGCATGTTTACTTTGCCTCATGATTGTTTTTGTGTTTCTCTATATGTTTAATTATTGTGTTCATCTTTGCACAGGTGTCTTCACCTGCTTTCCTATGGGAAGGAAAACGATGCTTTAAGTTGGAGTCAGTGCCTCTGCGCAAACTGTTTGAAGTAGCAAATTTATTCAGGATGGGCCATGGCTCAATCCTTTGACTACCAAACTCTATCGTGTCCAATACCTTTTCAATGCCCCACCCACTCTGCCTGACGAATGTCAAAAATCAGACGGGAAGAGACTGTTGCCGTCAATGCCTCAGTACGTTGAGAGAAACAAACGATGTTCAGTTGGCAAAGCCCACTACTAGTAGCAAGAAGCTATATACCAGTAACAAGGGCATCGCCACTACTAACAAGGGCATTACTACTAGTAACAAGGGCACTACTACTAGTAGTAGTAAGAAGCTAGTAGTAACAAGGGCATAGCTACTAGTAACAAGGGCATTACTACAATACAGTAGCAAGAAGCTACTAGTAGCAAATCACTAGAAGTCAAATTTGAAGGTCCAGGCAGTCAAGCTCAGAGCTTCAAGCCGGTCCAAACCTTGAAGGCCGGAACCAACAGGTGTCCCAATGGACGACAAACAAGCACGGGATTCATCCAATACGCATGGATATAAGGTGCCAGCACATGTAGCTGCGGTTGTCGAAAGGTCCAGTATAGACATGGAGCAAAATAAAGCCGAAGGATGTGAACAGCATCAAGACCTTAGACCATCACCAGCAGTGCGCCCGAAATCGGGGATCCATCTCCAGTCTTCAAGGGTTCGAGGGTCCAACCATCCGCACATACATTGTGGGAGCGGTGAAGAAAAGCAAAATCATCACCTTCCGAAACATGTAGACCTTGGTTCAACTTGCTCCCACTTGGGATCTGTTCAGAGCCGGCTGGATCATAAGGGTGCAACAGACTCGAAGTAGTAATACTTCAGCCTGAAGGAATTGATGAAGTTTTGTAGACTCTGAACCCTTGCAAGGACAAAGAAGAAGCATCCAAACTCAGCACATGGCTCAAACCCATTGTAAAGAAACCCGTAGCGCTTCCGAATTTCCTTCACCCCCAAACGATCCCACAAGTGACCTTAAAGACGGAGAAGAAAACGTCAAGTCAACGTGCCAAATCACCCCCACTGTCCGGGCGGTAGAGGTGCTTCCGTACTCTGCACAGTGCAATGAAGAGGGACACCTGGAAGTCACTGGTGACACCCAGGCATCAATAAACTCTAGCTACTGTAGTTCAAAAGAGGTTGCTGATGTTTGATCGACAAACCCTCTAACAAGGTTTGGAACTAATGAACAGAGCCATTTGCCACTTTGCAGTAGAAAATGACCATGCAAATGCGGGCCCCACTTTCGGTCCATATTTCACACAAAACCATGATTCTTGCAGGGTAACTCTGAGTCAAGCACAGGTACTCCGAGCCCAAAAATCACCAGGCCGACGGTACTGAGACAGAGCCATGGCCTATTCAAATTCATTGCACTTGGTCTCTGTGACTGCACTGCTCACTGCTCACATGCCTGTGACCATCAGAGTTGCACTCCACGCTGAAGTCCCGTCTGCCAGTTCGAATTATGCTCGAGCTTTGCTGTTATATTTTGTATACAGTATACTGAGTAGAGTTGTTCTCTTGCCAGCTGAAAATCCTGAAAAATGCACTCGGACCTGTGACGAAGTACATCAAGCTCCTCGCACTCGAAGCCAACGACCAAGATCCTTCGACTCGAGCTCAGGCTTCAAACTTGAGAGACATAATTGCTAAAAGCACAATGAGTATTCTTTTGGAAGAATCTTTCACAAGCTTGCAGCAAGCTCATCTGTGCCGCATTCATGGCCCATGATGGCTTTCAAAGTGCGAATAGGTCTTGAAGTTGGTGTGTTTCTTGCCTTTTCTCTTGGCCTCTTGGACAAACTTGACCATTCAAAAACGAGTCGGTCCTGACCACCACAGGATGCAAAATGAAGCTCATCACAATCACCGAGTTCACGAAGCGAGTAGCCACGCTGTTCACAAAGACCTGCCGAGGGCAAATATGACCTGCGGTGCCTGCCAAAGTCAGCCGGAAGGAACCTGCGTGTGACGCTGAGAGCGTGTTGGAGATGGGGAGTCCTGAGAGCGTGTTGGTGGATATCACCGGTATTTTCGTGGAAACAACAACGACAGATTCCACGATTCCACCTAAGGGGCAATTAGTAAAGAGAAATCATAAGGTGTTTGGGCTCCGTTGAATAAGGCCCCTTCAAGGGGGGGCCTCATTCAAACAACCCAAACACGTTCCTTGCTTAAACTATGTTTACAACATGTTATAACTAACTGTCCGATGTCCATCTCCTCTTCAGAACGGTGCTTGTTCCACGGAGAGCTCAATCCGTAGGCCGACCTCGGAACATTTCAGCCATCTCGGAGATGCAGCCACTAAGCTATGGACCTAGTTCTAGTAGCGATGCGCGGGTTCCTAGTAGCGTCCTTGCTCCTAGTAGTAAGGCCAGGAGCCCCTAGCGTCCTTGCTCCTAGTAGTAAGCCCAGGAGCCCCTAGTAGCGTCCTTGCTCCTAGTAGTAAGGCCAGGAGCCCCGAGTAGCGTCCTTGCTCCTAGTAGTAAGGCCAGGAGCCCCTAGTAGCGTCCTTGCTCCTAGTAGTAAGGCCAGGAGCCCCTAGTAGGGTCCTTGCTCCTAGTTGTAAGGCCAGGAGCCTCTAGTAGCGTCCTTGTTCCTAGTAGCTATGGAGGTCCATCTCGAGCTTCCCGCATTGGTGTAAAATCTCCACCTGTGAACTGTCTGGTGCCAAATGTGGTGTCACACGTTCTACGTGGAACCGATAACCAGCAACACTCTCCACCTGTGAAGCGTCGTTGTGGCGAAAAGGTTGGTGATCCGTCCTGCCACTCAAAGAGCTGCCATTATGATCATGATAAAGAGCAAAAACAAACCTACTGAACTGAACTGTGTAAATTACTTGTCATGTCAGAAATGACAACCTGTCACATGTTGTTTTTTAACTGCCCACTTCGTTACAACACTCATTTTGAGACAACTTGCAGTGCTCTGCGGTTGCTGCCGGTGTTTGTCAGTGAAGGCAGAGTCTTTAGAGGGAATGCTTAGCATTATGAGGGTTTTCAGCAACTGGTTCAACCTGCTCAAACCATTGCCACGTATGCCCCTTTCCTTGAAGCACGGAGACATGCCCGAGTGCGGCGAAGCCACGGAACCGTTCCCTATTCGCTGCGGCACCCTGCTGAGAATGTCGAGGTCCTCCCAAGCAAAAGGAATCAACAAAAGTGCCATACAACTGGTGACCTGTTGTTCCACAATCACACGAATCATCAAACTCTCCTGCGGGGTTGACTCCTCAACTGCTTCTTGCCTTACAAGCAAAGCGGCATGCTCAGCCTCTGCCACCTCTTAGACCCAAGACAAATCACCAGGCAGCGCGTCTTCAGAGGTTATTGAAGTCATTGATGCCTAGTTATGTGCAGCTGTGGCTTCGAGGTCCTGGCTCAAGAGTGCGGGCTCTACATTGCTCCTGGGCAATCGTAGGATTATGGAGTCGTGAAAAGACTCCAAGCGAGATGTGACTGAGAGCACTACCCTGTAGTCAACCTGGTTCAATATTCTTGCATCCACTGTCTGTCTGAAAACTATTCTCTTTTCTGAGCGGGAGGCCCATTTCTGCCGAAGCCAAGGGCCCAACACTCCAATGCAATCCTGCACAACCAAATGCTCTCAAGCATTTGGTGCCTCTCCCGTGCTTCGCACTCACTTGAAACTCTTGGACTCCTCTCTGGATAAACTCAAACATAAGTAAACCCTTTCTTTGCCTTCGAAAACATCTTTGCTAGAACGCCGGAAAGCTTCTCTACTTCTCTCTCACATTCTTACCTAGTAGCAAGGATTCATCTCCTTCCGGATTGCTGCGAAGAGCGTCATGATAAAGAATGCTGCTGGCATCAAGATGAGGCCTCAAGAAGACAGTTCCAGCAAAGGCTCCCAGCCGCATCACTCACTCTGGGTGCCCAGCCGACCGTGATTTCCACCTGCCCAAGTCCATTTCAAGGTCTTCGGAACCCCGTCTACATTGCAAAGGCCCGGACTTGATAAGGACGAATCCCACTGCCCTCCGGAAGGATGCAGTCCAGACCTCAGATCGCGTAATTAGGTCTGAAGCAACTGCAAAGGAACTGGACTGCGAAGGATCGTCGACTGCAAAGGAACAGGCTCATCAATGCAGTGAAGGGATACTGCAGCCGCTCAGGCCTCACGAGTGATGGCCCATGTCCGATGAAGCCCCAGTTAGTGGCTGGCTGGAATAAAATTCAATCACCTCAGGGACAAACATCTCAATGAATGGAAGCAAATATGCTGCACCTTCTCCGCAGATGGTCACCACCATCACCTTCGTAAAGCACGATACGTCCAAAATACACATGGAACTGATTGAAAAGAGGCTGATACCATGCCCATTTCATGGTACCATGCAGGCTTCGAGGACGATACTTTGAATTCGGTGGCCTCGAACGCGGTTCCCGCCTTGGCCAAGCTAGCATCGACGAGCAATACATACAATGTTTGGAACTGGGGCAGATGCGAATTGCAAGTAGTTGACACCTGAAAAAGAGTTCACTTTGATACTTTAAAGGAGATGCTCCAAACCAAAAACCCCGCGAATCCAGTCGCCCACATTCTTTGCCAGGGTTTCCGGCCAATCTTCAGGATCACGGAATGGATCGCCCGCACAGATTGCGAGGCAGACCTCGTGCCCTTCACGATCAGCCAAATGTAGAGAACCTCAGTCGCTGAAAGGCCTCACGGCCTGGATGACCAGCAAAAGGACCAGGAAGTTGGTGTCTCTGATTTGACTTAGACATAGACATTGAACATGGAAGAAAATATGCAAGAAGGTACAAGGTATGCTCCTGGCGTACAGGAAGACGGTAAGAACGACGCTGCCAACAGCGACCTCCAGTCAAGAAGAATCTACCAAGTCACCAAGTCATAAAAAATGTTCTGCTTTGTAGGGTGACCGAAGTGATAGCTCGAGACCCACACATTTTGATCTGGGCATTTCATACACAAGTGGCCTCGGCTCACTCAACTGAAACATCCTTCAATGATCGACAGCTTCCTTTAAGGTATGCGGTCATCTAAACGCTTCATATGTTGAGACGAATGGATCAGTGCGGGGTGTCTCTGCATGCCCCCTTCTTGAAAACATCCGTGTACAATTGTGCTATTTCATTCTGCCATCCTTAGCTCTAGATATCTTCACGTTTTGGTATCGCTTAGCTCTAGACGCTTCAGGCCCCAAAGCGGTAGCGAGTAGCCAGGCTCGCAATGTTGACCTTGGATTGGCGAAGGCACAGCGAATGTGGACGGTGGGTGCATGCCAAGGACCGAGTACGATCGGTAATCTGAGGATCCAGCACAAAATGCCTTGATGTGCCTCGTTGCACTGGTTCTTTCCAAGGCAAAGCTCCCGAGGATTGCACTCAACCTCAAACGATTAGCAGCTTGAAGGCCAAGAAACTCAGTGAGAGGAGGCCAAGGTTTGCAGTGTTCATTGGTCTTGGCCCAGTGTGGTTGTTTGTTGGTTGCTTCGCTTGAAACCAGAGAGCTCAGAAATCTCAGCTCCTCTCACAACAGAAGTACCTCTCTTACCACCCAACGGCTATTGAGCTACAGAGCAAAAGCCAAGCCACGAAGGTGCCGGATTGAGAAGCGGATGGGAGGCGGTAAAAGCCTAGAGCAGCTCTACAGTGAGAGGACCGGAACGACAGGAACTGCTACATGCTTCAGCCCGGTGCGATGTAAAAAAATCCTCACCATGATGAGAGTCATCTACTCGAGAGTCTCTCACGAGTCACTCTCGAATGCCACGATAGTGAGCTCTTCACTGAGATGCAGACCCGCTTTTGCGAAAACCCTTGGAGCCAGTGCAACTGCGCCACAAAACTTTTGTCCCACCAAAATGCTTTGAGGCACTGACTGTGTGTTGCCTGGGCAGTCTGCACCAGAAGGGCAAATGTCACATTGGCTCATTCCCGACGCAGTGCCATACCTCATAGCCAGAGCAGTGCAATGGGGCGGTTGCCCAAACACGAAATGAAACTGCGATGCTCAAAAAGCCTTTGGCCTTTGGCTAACTGCTTGGGCCAAAACGTACCCGGAACGCACTCCTCGCATTCTACGGAGCGCGGAGTGCGGTACTGGCCCGGTGGGCACTGCCTGAGCGGTTGGTCCAACTAAGGAGTGATGCATCGTGATGCGTTGGGAGTCAACCACTCTCCTCAGGCTCACGCTTGCAGGTCGATACGTTGCCGCTATTGTCCAGCACTACAGCCTGCAAGGCACTGCGTCACTACGTCCTGCCCCCCCCCGCATTCAAACACCCATGCCAGGAGCTATGCCAGCTTGGAGCTGTTTATAGGTGCTACTCTCTGCATTTTCAATGTACACCAAATATCTTCTTCGTGGTGAGGTGCCTCCCCCGGGATGCAGGGGTAGACGTCAATCTCTTTCTGGACCCAGGTAGGCAAGGGCCAGCCACTCAGTGCATGTGTTCCACCTTGAGGTGTTTCATGATTTCCACACGTCCAATTGGTGACTGAACTTGCATGCCAAGAGGGATGATGCAAGCATGGACTTCCAAAAGTGAGCCGGATGGCCTTGGAAGCCTGAGGTGACAACCTAATGTGACGATGTCTGCGGTCGTCCAACGGTCCATGGTACCTTTGTCCTTGCAAGGACTCTTTGTTTAAAGCAGCTTGGACATCCTTGTCATTGCCGTGCACAGGACTGCAGAAATCCAGACAAAATAGGCATTGCGGTCCTTTCCAAGAGGCTGAACCTGAAGCTGCCAAGGGAATACTTGCACTCAGCTGGCCATCGGCAACCCGCCTGTTGAGTCAAGGTTTCAGCACTTGTCCGAGTACCTGAGCAACTCAAGTCCGCTTGAGAAGCAGGACATGGTAGCATGTTGCTACCCTTCTGTCGCTGAAACAAGAAATGAAGACCATCTTGTGGCAGTTTCGCGGTGAGTCTGTTCAGCCTGAGGCTGAGCCAGGCTGAGCCACTGACCATTGCTGTCGAAGGACAGCTGCCCATAGCAGGTTTGCAACGATAAGGAAAGCAACGCCTGGTGTGTTTCAGGCGACAGTCTGAAGTGGCGGAACATGTCAGGAATCACTCGTCTTTCTATCAATCCAGCTACTCAAACATGTAAAAACTAGAGCTCGCCCACACCTGTCGAACTGCATTCTGCTCCAGGCTGCTCACCTCAATCAGCAAGCACATACGTTACCACGCACCAGACTGAAACAGCCAGTGAGGTTAACTTAACGCATGACTGTTGCAGTCTCTCGAACACAAGCATGTCTTCATGCCACGAGAACTCTTCTACATTTGATCTGTCAGCTGGGGTGTCCATTCTGCTAGCAGCCTAGCAGCCTCCTGTATCACCACAGAAACCTATTGCTAGCATGCGGTTACCAGGATCAGAAAGCTACCAACTAAGGGGAAAACTATTGAACTGAACCTGGTCACCCACGAACCCAAATGCACCAAAATAACCAAAAAGTGACGGTGCTGAGACGTCCACTGCTTGAATGGCTGCAAGCAATGCAATTCCTCCAGCAGCTGCCGCTGCACTTTCTGGGAGGGGCTCCTCAAAGATGACAATGTTTCACTTTTCAAGACCATGCATTCCGTGGTTGAGCAACTTTTTGAACAAGTTTATGGTGAGCTCTGCCAAACAAGATTCAATAATGATTGCCATGCGGCCGCAGAGTGAGACTGGAAACACTGCGTCTGTGACTCTCCTCGTTGAACTTTGCACGATAAGCTGTAGCAAAGTCGCGTGCGGAGCCTAGAGTCTGTTCCCTTCATGGACCCACTGCGGCTTTGCCGGACTGGGTTTCCGTGGTTGCAAGTCACAAATCGGGTATACAGATTAAAGGGCTCAAAAAAATTGAACCTTGTTGGAAGATGGGAAAGTATTCTCAACAGATTTCTAACTCCAAACGGATCTCAAGCAAAGTAATGGTGATTCAAAAGTCTCTGTTCATTGAGCAATGACCTCAGAGCCTCCATTCCAACCCTCAATCAACTACTTCCGCAAATACTTTATGGTCTCACCATCTTCTTTAACACAGCCCCAAGCAAAAATCGTCTCAGTGGCTGGCCAAACACTGGGCACTTCACAGAGTCAGAAGGCTCCCAAACCAATGGACTCATGACGTAGTTCCTGCAACAGTGGCAAAATTAAGAAGAGCAACATGCATCATTGTTGAAGAGTCAGAATTTCTACGTACATCTAGCCAAGAGCTGAGTGTGCTGCGCGAGATGAGCGCCTACAGAGCGCACCGCATCCCTGCGCAAAGAGCACGGAGACGCATGTGGAGACATGACACCCAGCCCCACTGCCGACACAGCCGGACATGGAATCAGCCAATCGCCTGCTGGACACTGCGGTCAGAACGAGTCCAAAAGGGACAAAACCTCAGTGAATCACTCCAGGTGTAGACCTAGGACCTAGAGTGATGATGTGCAAACCGGCAAACGTCAAGTCAGCATGAGTCAGTCAGGTCTGAAGCTCCTTCCAAGGTAAGGACTCAGGGAGCTGGCCTTGGCAGTCAATTTCCAGCAGAAGCCAGCTTCCTTCTGAGTAACCAAGCCAGTGACAGAGATGAGGATTTGCTCTGCACTTCGGAGGTTGCCACAGCCGACGAGCAAATCTGGACCTCAAGCACTTGCAAAGAAACAGGTAAACAAAGTGTCACACAATGGCCAATGGGTTCAAAGTCCATGAATTCAAGGACATTGCAAATACCATCTTCCAACAAGTTTGGAGCCCATCGCTTTCAGCTGCCGCATATGTGGCATCATTGCCTGTGCTTTGGGATAGCGTTCCAAGACACAGCAATTCAATCGCACCCCTCAGCAATAGAGATCACAACCGAAAAGAACGGTGTTGCTTAGGAATCAAAAGAGCAGAATGCTTGTGGGGAACAGCAGGTAGCTCCAATATCAAGATTCCCTGAACCCACTGAATCCCCTACCTGGTCAGCGATCCCTGTTGCATCCACGACCTTCATACCAAAGCCTGAATGATGACATGCAAAACCTGCTTCAAACAACTCTCTCTCTCTCTCTCTCTATCTCTCTCTCTCTCTCTCTCCCTCTCTCTCTGTCTCTCTCTCTCTGTATCCCTCTCTCTCTATCTCTCTCTCTCTCTCTATCTCTACCTCTCTCTCCCTGTCCCTCTCCCTTTCTCTCCCTTTCTCTCCCTTTCTCTCCCTTTCTCTCCCTTTCTCTCCCTTTCTCTCCCTTGTTCTCCCTTTCTCTCCCCTCTCTCTCTCTCTCTCTATCTATCTATCTATCTATCTCTATCTCTCTATCTCTCCCTCTCTCTCCCTGTCCCTCTCCTTCCCTGTCCCTCTCCTTCCCTGTCCCTTTCTCTCCCTCTCTCCCTTGCTCTCCCTTTCTATCCCTTTCTCTCGCTCTATCTCCATTCCTCTCTCCCCCTCTCTCTCTCTATCTATCTATCTATCTATCTATCTCTCTCTCTCTCTCTATCTCTCTCTGTCTCTCTATCTCTCCCTCTCTCTCTCTCCCTTTCTCTCCCTTTCTCTCCCTTGCTCTCCCTTTCTCTCCCTCTCTCTCCCTTCCTCTCCCTTCCTCTCTCCCCCTCTCTCTCTCTCTCTCTCTCTCTCTCTCTCTCTCTCTCTCTCTCTCTCTCTCTCTCTCTCTCTCTCGCTC